GGGAAATTAATCGGTTTTTACCACCGATCCCCAAAATGAGTGGGTGCCACAGAAAAATAGGCGTTCGGATCATCATTGTCTCCGGTAGAATACCAGAAAACGTTTCTAGCCAGAGCACAACCTGCTGCAGCACTTTAGAGCTTTGTATCCGTTTAACCATCCGACTTGGTGTCGTCAGAGAATTTTCTACTTCAAATGCGAGCCAAGAAAGACAGCCTTAAAGAGTACGGGCAGCCACAACGGCCTACTTCTTAGTGGTCGTCCCAACGGCATATCTACAAGAGAAAGTATTTTCCAGGCCCACTTTCCTGACTGCCGATGAACGGTTGGTTATCCGTGGAACGACCTGAAGACGAGATATTTTTCGGTCAGTGGCGTACCTCCCTTCCTGTACGGTCTCCGTACACAGAGACTCAAAGGATAAGTGTCAAGCTATCCGCAGCTGGTTCTTCATCATCAAGAATAATAATAAGGAATAGCTAGAAGTGTCACCACTGGCCTTTTTCAGGGCCATTATAAGTATTTACGTTCCCTACTACACCATCAATCTTATCGGCCCTTTTAAGGACCACCTAAGTTTGAATAACCTTGCCAACAAATACATTTTTACTACGATTTCCGGAGATGATTTGTTAACTAAAAGTGTGTGAGTGTGCGCGCAAATTTGACATGTGGCTCGACAGTAGGCAGCCAAACATTCGGTAGCCGAAGTAGGCCTGAAGACTGCCCAAACGCAGTGTGCCGAGAGAATTGGTATACTATCTATAGATGAAAACACACTATAGCTAGACCGATAGAAAATCCTCTAAATCTCAAAATTGATTTCCAAAGGGATATTTTAGATATTATACGTAATCAAACTCGTAGATTACGGAAAAAATAGTCAAACTCGTCAAAACTCTGTTTAACACCTTTAAAATAGTGTTTAAAGTTTATTCCGTAAATATCTCGTAAACTGTACAAAATAGGATAAAAATAAAAAATACTAACGTGTAGAGTGAAAAATTTCCTATCGATTTGGTCTTTTACTTTTGTTTGGACCACCACAAAATTTTGAGATAAAAATTAACAATGGTATTTTTGCCCAAAACCATGAGAGTGAGGGAGACAGAGAGCGCGTGGACAAACAGTGCACGATCGTCGTCTGCTGGCAACATATATATGTGTATGGATTTACATGACAATATATGCATCTACTTAGTGGCAAACGACGTTGGGCAGAGTTAGGGCCACCTTCGGCTGCCGAATGTTTGGCTGCCTATTGTCGGGTCACATGTCGAATTCGCGCACGCCCCTCCTTCGGGCCGACAGCATTATTATTCGGCACCCAGCAGTCTGGCCGAATGATTCTGTACGGTTGCCAACCAACTGTTTCTGATCGAGTATGAGCGCAGAATGGTATGTACTTTGCATAGTGATACAGTTAGAGCAGACAGAATATGGCCGTTGCCACGCACGCACGTTATTATCGGGTCACTTGATAGAATGTAAGAGTATTTTGTTATCCAATTAAATATAAGTTATTATTATTAAATAAACCTGTTTATAAATTAATGAGTGTAAATTTGTTGATCCACTATTTCTCAATGAATATGTGTAACAGTGCTTATTAAGGAATATTTTTATGTATCCTTTATTAGGATTCTATTTTTTTGTTATACTTGATCAACCTTACATCGAGATTGTTCATGTTTTTTGTGAAAACAGAGGGTTCCATTAATTAAATCTAACGATTTGAAAATGTTTTATTTTCATACAATAATATTGATGTTTGAAAAGAGTTAACATATTCAAAAGCAATGTAACTTAATGCATAAGTCAAGTTTTAAATGTACAGCCAACTTATGAAAGTGTCTGAACTATGAGAATATTACAGCATAATTCAAGTTTTTAATATTCAATATCTTAATGTACATCCAATTTATAAACGTGTATGTACAATGATTCTGAAAAATGATATTTTGCGGCTTCAGAAACTAAAGTAGTCAGTTCACCTCCAAATAAGATTCGTACATATACAAACTACAGTGTTGTGTGGTAATGTTGATGATATAATAAAATCACAATAACCACGTAACAAGATCTGCTACTTCATTTCAGTGAAGCATTATCAGTCCTGTAGTTATCTTATGTAAAGATATCGTCACCCTAAAATACTTTCAGATTATTTTCACGTTCTTTCCACATCCACACCAACCAGGATCTAATAAGATTTAAATACTGCCTTTACATAAACTAACGTGAAAGTTCTAGGCAATACATGAATCTCTCTTCTCTTAATCCATAATGTCAAAGAACGGAAACTACTAGAAATACTCCTTTTAATCGATTAGAAATAAGTATGCATACACAGTTTTAATGAATTAACTGAATAAGTTTCTTAATATTTAAATTTTTGAGATCTAGAAAACAGTAGGGACTGCTACAACCATTTTTTTTTTATTTTCTAAAAGCTAACAAATCGAAAACTGTTAATATACCATAACTTTTTAATACGCTTTCTAACAAGAAGTCAGTAGAAATGTTTGAATTTTTTCAACTACCTTTTACACCATAACATATTTTTGCAAAGTATTTTAATTGAATATAAACAGCTTTATTTTCGTGGCTCATTACCGCACTCTAAAATACTAAATACGTTTTTAATTGCTTTATCTCTAAAACCGCTTAACGCTTACTTTTTCTAGGTGAAGGAAATTGTTTTAATAAAAAACAAATTTTTGTTAAATAACTATTGATTACTACTTGATAATATATCTTCTCACATTATGAAGTTTTAAGGTTTTGACAAATAACTGGGATATCATTGTGAGTAAAATATAGTAATTTGTTTTGATATGCCTAGTTTTTGTTGTAGTTAAAATTTTTATTTAGTAGTATGGAAGCGGTAAATTGACGAAGCCTTGGCAACTGTTTTATTATTTCTTTTCAGATTTACATATTCCCATTCATTAGCAAAAATTTATTATTTTTGTTTCTATGCTTTATGTATTCAGATTTAATTGGTACTCTTTCATTCTATTCTACAACTTTACCCATTAATAAGGGTCAGAAAATCGTTGAAACAACAAAAATAAAACATGTGTGTCTCAAAACGCTAAAATCCTCGTCTTTCGGTTCAGCCTTTATAAAATGTTGTTTATAGGTATTTTCTGAGTTCATAGTAGACATCACGTGGCGTTCCTCAAGAAGATGCCTGGTGGCAAATTTTAATATGTATAAAAATCAAGTATTTTCAATACAATCAGTATAAACTCTAAATTAAACTTATAAGTATTGAAATGAAGGACTTTTACCATCTTGAATGTATTGACAGCTTATTAAAAAGTTTGATAAACAAAAGTTAATATTCTGAAACTGTTAATGAAAAGAGGGAGATTTTTTTAACTTAATAATTATCATAATACTTGTACAAACAGTTTCTCTTCCTTAAGATGTCAGCCAAAATAAGCTCCTCTGAGTTTGATTAGGTTAATAACTTTTCGCACAAAAAAATTAAAACTGCAGATGAACAATGTTTAGACATTCAATTACAGAGCTCGTAATAGTCCTAGAACTTTTTTTCTAGACTTAGATTGTAAGTATTAATGATAACCAGCTAAGATAAAATTTTCTTAGAAAAACTTAAGTAAGTTTTTTCACAAGTTTTCAAAATTCGGAATGCTTGCAAAAAATTTTCGAAACCGTAAAAAAAGGTTTTTGCCAAATTAGCAGAGAAATGACGTGTGCGGAACGCAATTATGATTTTCTTTTAACACGCGTAGGGCTTCCGTCTCAAGATCTTCTAAAACTAAGTCAGCGAATGGTGGAGAGACAGGGGAGCTCATAGGGCTACCAAAAATCTGTTTATAAAATTTTTCATGAAAGGTGAAGTAAACATTATTAATCAAAAATTTTGTGCATTCTATAATTTCATGAAAAGGAATTTTTTATAATCTGTGGACTACACAATTTACAATCAGATGTCCACAAAATTTTAACGAAATTGTCTACACGTAAAAAGTGTGCGATAAAATAATTATTGTAATAAAATACATCGTGGATATTAAAGAATTGTTTGAAGTGAAAAAAATCATAAACTAAAAAATTCGTAGGATAAATTTCTTTTTCATACATTTATTTTTATTTACACCTTAAGAGGCGACTTTTTTTGCTATTTTTCTGTCAGTCTTTCCTCTCTTTCTTTCTTTCATTTTTTAACTAAAGTCAATAATATGTATTGTTGATTAAATAGGTAATTACAAAATAAAGAGTTCTATGACTGCTTACTTTTGAGGTTATGTAGACGATTTATCACAGTATGTCAATAATTAACTTACTTTAAAGCTGGATATAAGTTACAATAACTTCAAAATTAATTAAAATACACAGTATTTACTTTGACATAACAGAATAAAAGATTTGCAAGTAAAAACAACAACTTTGCTGTGTCTGATTTATCGGGCCAAAGGCATAAATATGAAGTGTACGTAAATACGGTACATACATTATGCTGTACCATTAACTGGGACCTTTAAATTTTAGATGTACGTATATTAAGACATGGTTATAAATAAAAAATCTGCATTAAAAATACTGATCTTTGTTTTTAAATATATTTAGGAATACCTAAGTTTATGAAAAAAAAACATATATTGACAAAAAATTCAATTTAATTAAGAAAAAACTCAGTGAAGTGAAAGTCAAAGTAGGTGCTGATTCATATATCCCATAGTATTACCATGGCAGAGTTGCAGTAAACATTTTTTTTATAATATTCCATACGTACTATGGCCTTAAAAATACGATGTATAATGAATGTTTCCACGTATAATATAACGAAATTTTTTTACAATCCTATATATTCCCCATTATTTAAATATTAATTGATTTCAAAACATCCCATTACTTGGGACGTTGTCTCACAATCGGGACATTTACCTTAGTACAATCTTTTTATTTAGGAAGAAAATCCACAGGTAATTGATCAAATAAACATTTAAATTTTTTTTTAATTTCAGAACTGAATGCAGAAATAGAGAAGAGAAAGAAAAGATTGAAAAATCAACTATGGTGTCCCAGTTACTCAAATCAGCTGAAAAACAAATGCCACTTCCTCATCAGGTAACTAAACATTAATTTTGTTTTTTGCTTAATTCTCAAAACTACTAAAGTCTTTTAATAACGCGTCATTAGTAATTTTTTAACTGTTATTTTTAGGAAGGCAGTAAACCTTTTTTGTATTATTTGAATGCATCCATTTATTCTGGTGTATGAAACTGTATTTAGTTGAGTACGTATAAGTGTTTGGTGCACATAATTTTTTAGTTCAAGAAGTGTAAAAGAGAAACTTATTTCCTTATCCTTTTTCATATTAGTTAGTCAATTTTGCAGCATTTATTTAAAAATAATCTTTGTGTGAATTATTACAGAAGAAATTTCTTTAAAGTATAAGTGTAGCCTACTCCTCAGAATACTGTATTAATTTGATTATAAGTTGATAGCTAATAATAAAATATAAGTCTGAGCAAAGTAGTTTCTGAAAATTTAGAAAGTAAAATTTAAATGAGTAATTATCATTTGAGTACGATGCAATTTTTTATAGCCTTGATAAAAATAATAAACTCACTGCTCCATTGAGCAAATGTTAACTTCAATCCAAACTGTAAGGTAACATAGGTTTATTATATATTACACTAAATATGTAAAATTATCACTTTCGATACTCAAACTTTATGATAATTGTTTATTGGTAAAGTTGAAAAAATATTATTTGGCTCTATTATCGAACCTTAAAATAGTCAATGAATCTATTATCGAGTCCATATTATTAAAGTCTGTACGAAGTATGTATGTTGTCATAGTACCTTATCCAAGTAATTGATTAATTGATGGATTTATGAAAAGAAAGAGAAATTAAAACGTAAAGAAGAATTTATCGTAACTGTATCGTAAAAAAACAGGCTAGCCATACTAGAGAGAACGACAACGTCCAATGAACAACAACATTGTTGTTCTCTCTCACCTTTCTGCTGTACTGCCACGAAACGAATACCGTATAGCATAGCATATACTGAAATGTGTATCTGGTGTGGGTGTGTGTACGCATGTATATATGCATACTGCTTTTGATACTTGTTCATCTTTCTTTTGCTCACGCATATGAAAGTGCGGTGTACCAGCTCTAGCTCTATATATCTATATACATGGCCTCTCCTTATACTGCTTGTGCGTAGTGAAAATCGTAACGTACAATATACATACACGCAAATAGTTTTAATTGACATAGTAAATTGTAAGGATAATAAAAATCTTAAAAATAAATCATAATAAACTTTAACCAATCGACCCCAAGGGAAACCTCCAGGGGTTTCGTTAGAGTCTAAGCATTCTTATTTAGAACAGGGGGCAGAGGAGCAAATTTCCAGTAGTATATATATACGTGAGTTTATCCAGAGGGTTCTTAGGCGAACAATCACACGTATGTAAGGGGAATTATAAGGACAAAAGTAGAATCATGTGGACGTCCGCATAATTCTACAATGTAATTGATATATATTCTAGAAGCACGTGAAGTCCACATAAGTCACTTTCTATAACCTTAAAAAAAGGGACTTTATGTGGACTTAAAATATATATATATATATCTTCCTATATTATATAGTTAACTCAATGAGGCATTCCACACAAACACCCGAATGCCCCNTATAGTTAACTCAGTGGCGTGTTTCACACAAATAATTCACTGACCCCCCACCAACCCCCCACAAAATGAGGTAAAAATCCGTTATTTTCTTGCTTATTTTGACATATCGTAGTTTTTCTCAAAACCCCCACAGCTCCCCCACCGACCTCCCACAGCCCTCCACCGACCCCCCACGCATTTTTTCATGGCCCCCCACCGACCCCCCACAAAATATTATATGTATAGCATAGAAGTATAGTATAAGTCTTTATCCAAGCTAGGGGGTTCAACCACGTATCGCTTCATGGGATAATAACAATGTATGTTTTAATATTTAATCAAATAGTTACAAATTAGTGCACAATACTATAATCAGCTAAACTTAAATACAATCAATTGTATTTCAATTTATTGAATCCCTTGGTTTCTTTGTAAGCATAAAGTTTTTGGTGGGCTGACTTTTTTTGTTAGCATTTTGTAACGTTGCATTTTGCCAGCCCTGTCAATGTGTTGAAGTCTATTACCACATTCCTACCAAATCACATGGAAATATTGTATAGTATTTTTTCTCAAAACATCCTACATCCCCCCCCCACCTACCCCCTACGGCGCTCCTACCGACCCCCACGAATTTTTTCATGGCATAATTATTATATCATCATCACTTATATAGTCCTTTAATACACAATTCTTCTTTTTACGTACATAAACTTAAGTTAAATTTAGAGTATCATTAGTATAAACGATGAAAGTCTCGCATCACTTTATGAGTCATCTTACAAAGCCTGATTAAACCACGAAGACTTACGTCCATTTCTATTGTGTTTTAAATTAATGCTGAAATTGGTACCATAGATGAACACGATATACATTCATGATATGTATTATTAATTAACAAACTTTACCTGTACATAAAAAGTAAATCAAAAGTAATATTTAATGTTTCTATGTCCTCTTCTCTAATTCTTAACAATAATTCTTAAAATTCGTTATTACTAGAACGGATATTATTTTGTAATCTTAAAATTTTGAAGAAGTTCCATGAAAATGATGATTTAATAGTTTCTTCTATTATTATAGTTCTATTACCGTTTTTTGTAACTGGAAGGATTCGTAGAAAATCTCCTCTTAATACTATTAATTTATCACCAAAGCAAAGTTTTGTATTACACAAGTCTCTCATCGTTCTATCAACGATTTCTAGAGCTTTTTTCGGAATCATAAAAGCCTCGTCCCATATTATTAAATCAACTTCCCTTAATTTTTTTTTTTCAGTTTCAAATTCTAAAAATATACTTTCAATATTAACTTAGTCTAGAGGTAAACGAAAAGTTCTATGACTGGTCATACCTTTTGGTAGTAATACAGATGCAATTGCTGTCCAAGCCATTGACATAATATTTTTACTTCTAGAAATAAAATTATAAATGAGTGTCTTATATAAGTAGGTTTTTCCGGATTAACCAGGACCATCTATGAAATATACTTTTTCATCTTGTTCACAAATAGTTTTAAAAATTTTTCTTTGATCTTTATTTAAATTTGTGTACATTATATCGAACATTTGTTTACTGAAAGATATTTCCTCAATATTGCAATTATTTATATAGTTGCTAATGGTTGGTGTCGGTAAACTAAAAGACTCACATGATTTACCTTCCGATACCAAAATTTGATTAATATGTAGAAGAGCACAATTATTATTATCATTATCGAAGTCTTCCGTAAAATATTTTTTATATTCATTCCATATTTTATCTCCTTGAATGTTTTCTGAAATCAAAAACCAAGCAAAAAATTGTCTTAACTGGTATGGAAACATAATTGTTATGGCTTCTTTAAAAATATTGTCGATTTCAGAATCATGTTCTATTAAACCCATTGCAATTGCAGTATCCCTGAAATTTTTATATGTTATTCCATTATGTTTTTTAACGTCTTCAAACGATGTAGCCCCATGTAATTTATTTAAAATAAGTTTTTTAAATTTGAAAAATAAAAAAGTTAAGAATAAATAAGAATAAATGCACAAAAATTGTAAAAATGTATTTCTCATAAAATATTTAAAAGTTGGGGGGTTTGCGCGCAGCGCGCGCAGGGGGGCGTGACCCCCACTAGTATATATATAGATTAAAGCGTACGAACCCGAAAGTGTATTGCCTATATAAGCTGTATTCCGCTAAGGCACCTAGTAGTTAAGTTTCGTGAGCCGTGACAACGCTGGATGGTCAGTGGCGCTAGTGGCGCTATTTAAGTAACGCCGCTGTGTTCTTGTCAGAAAAACAATCTTCCAATTTTTACGTTTAAAATTCAATTCGCGTCGTTTGTTTGTTTATCTAAGCGGAACACTTGGATACAAAATATTTAAAATAAAATATGACCAGAATATTTTGGATCTCCACGAGTCATGAGGTTTCTCAATTCTGGTGAGAGTGGGGGCTGGATAAGATTTCGACCACCCTCAGGCCTCAGCTCTTGGTCTATCACGAAACTTAACTACTGGCAACCTATGTGGAATACAGCCATAGTCGAATGCTCGGTGAACGAATATTGACTCAGCAATTTGACACTGTCAACAGTCAAAGTCGTCGACTGTCATCTGCGTTGAGCTCGTTGTGTAGTTCTAGAAAATGTCAGAGTGTGTAAAATTTTTATACTATTAGTTTTACAATTTAATATTTCCTACTTATCACAAATATTATCGCAAATCTTTAAGAGTTCCTGTATAATATTAATTGATATATATGTACACATATAAATTAATGTTTATTTTTTAAATACAATCGATGACTCTGATTGAAATTATTTATTTATTAGATAAGAAGTCTAGAATGTAATTTGTTTGGGTGTTGTTTTTAAGAGATCATTAATTTATTGTTCTTCAAGCTTCTTTAGTAATTCTATTATAAGTTTATTTACACAATAATAACTTTTTCGAATATTGTATTCTGTTAACAAGTCCTTTGTTTTGATCCGTTAAGTGATACAAGTTGCATTACGTTATTATAATATTTAGAACAATCAGGTGCATGAATTTTATTCTTATGCTTGGCACGTTACAATCGTGTGAGGGCTGTGGGTGGCCAAAAAAACTTATAAGTGGCTGTAGAATATATATATNAGATTGATCTTCATCCGCAGAAAAAACATAGCACATGTAGTAAAATAACTTGAAATTAGGTAATTTTTTTAAAACTTCATTCGCGAGGTATACGCTAAACAGATAACTTTTATCATTCAAAGACTTGATGGAGTTCACAGCATTTTTTAAATTTGAAGCCAAACCAATGAAATTCATTCTAATTTATTCTTAACTTTTTTATTTCTCAAACATAAAAAACTTATTTTAAATAAATTACATGGGGGTACATCATTGAAGACGTTAAAAAACATAATGGAATAACATGTAAAAATTTCAGAGAGACTGCAATTGCAATGG